AGGGAGTTATGTCTACCAAAGTTGCTTCAATTCTGACCTTGATTCATCAACGAATAACACCTGTTATCTTGTCTTTGTGTATTTTCTTCAAGGTCAGCTTAGTCTATTTTGAATTTCTTCTGAAGTCTAAAATTAGCTGTATTTGTGACTGAGAATACCGTTACTTTCCTGAGTCAATAAAGAAAAATATTCTGGTATTATTTCTGTTCATCAGAATTATATAGCTTAAACAGAAATCATCTTCGTGATCATTCACATCTGTAAGTGTGCCCAAAAATGGAATGTTTTCATGAGATAAACACACAAGCAGTGGGAAAACACCCATAAGCACTTCTAAGGGAAGAAATGTAGTGGCACTTGAGAGAAATTACAGACAGAAAACCACTCGTTTCCACAGCCAGTGACCCCAAGGCCTTGCCTGGTGGTGCTGCCCATCAGGTGGGTGAGTGGATCGACCTGTTAAATACTAGTTGTCACCTTCTGTGTATTCCTATAGCCCGCGGCACCCACGCATCCTTATCCTGTGTTGAAACTAGAATGCCGTTAATTCCAGTAGGTCTGTGTCCCATCTGAAGGTACACATGCTAACCTATTCTGGTTGTGTCCTGCCATGCAAGTGTAGTGTAGATTCAACACTTTCTACTCAAGCATTCAAGCATTCAATTTCAATAACCAGTTTTCTATGTTTTTTTTTTCTTTTGTTGTTGTTCTATTTTGTTTTCTTTTGTTTTTCAAGACAAGGTTTGTCTGTGTAGCCCTGACTGTCCTGGAATTGGTTTTGTAAACTAGGCTAGCACCAAGCTCAAAAAGATCTTTCTGCCCCTGCTCCTGAGTGCTGGGATTAAAGGTGTGCTGATATCACCACTCCTGGCCCAATAACCAGTTACTTTAAGTGCATCTGATTTTAGTATTATCCTATGTTAATGAAAAAAGAAGTTTGGCTTAAATTTGTTCAGTTACCTTCTTTAGGCTTAATTTTGATGACATGTACAGAGGACTGGATAATGGAAGGTAGAAATTTTTCTCTCCCTCTAATATTATGTCTGTAAATGAATTATATTTGTATTTAGCATGAATATAAACATACCTTTGGGCACACTAAGTATTTTTCATCATTATTAGGTGACTCATTAACTATTATGCCTTAATTACCTTTGTTGTAACAGTTTACAACAAAATAATGACTCATCAGATTAGTACTTAATAAATGAAAGTACTTTATCTCTTAAAATTTTTACACTCTAAAATTACAATTGTTGAACTGAAAACCTTTTATAACGAAACAAAATTTAAATATAAATACAGTCCATGGAAGAATTGAGAACTTCAGTCTCCTGATCACTTTATAGTGTACTGTATAAAATCTAAATCAATCCTGCACTCATACATTCAATAGCTTGTATCATCATAGAGAATACCATAATGGAGAGCTTACTGCCCGGCATGAGCGGTTTGAAGAGGAATAGACATGGAGTTTCCAGACCCACTAATACAGCCTCAGAAAGGATGTTGGCACTGCCCATGGAGGACAGGCAGGAGGACAGAGGAACCCCACAGCATCCAGTAGCCTTGAATCCACAGTGAGCTCAAAGAGTGGCTGACTCTGTTCCACAAGGAGGGTCAGGAAAGGTGACAAAGTGTAAGGCCCAGAACAAGAGCAGAGCGAGCACAGATGGAGTGGACTATATGGTCACTCCTTCAGCATCCACAGAAATGACCGAAGGGGTGGATTTAACTCAATTATATCCCTTACTTCTTCAGTCAACATCTTGACTCTTAGAAGGTGACCCGGGGAAGGACTCTCTGTCAGCTGTTTTACCAGAATCTGGACCAGCCAAAAATACTCACACCTGCCCCGTTGAAGGACCTGAAGGACAAAATTGAGTTTTGTGTCAGGAAATACATTGAGCATTCCAGTACTTTCTAACCCTTGTTTGATTGGGTTTATAAAGCCAAACCCACAATTTCATCAAACCAGATGTAGGCCAAGGGCTTAAAAATCCAAAACTTCTAGTTCTATTGATTCAAACAATTTGTTTCTTTTTGTAAAACAGTGGATCTTCCAAACCTGCCCACGAGGCTGCCTGAGAACATTTTCCCAGCAGGATTGTTTAGTTGGGGCAGCAGTTGGGTGAAACTCAGGAAAAACAGAGTCACTGTGACAGTTCAATAATAGACTCTGTACACATCTGTAAAATTGCACACATTTCTGAATACCTAAGTGTGAACCCAGTGTAAGAAACTAACTTCACACATGAATTTATTTCATGTTACTTACAGTCCTGTTGAGGAAAGTGACCTCTTTTGAGTTCTTTGTCTTTGATGAAGATATCTTCTAAAGAATTTCTTTATCAGACACTAAGAAATAAGGATTTAAAATGCATGCCCTTTGTGCATATATATTCAAAGATTAAAACTGTCTATAACTAGGAGTATGCATTTAATACTCACCACTAAGTATTGATAGCTTCAAAGTCCAGCTTTGAAGACTATCTTCACAGTTGAGATCAGGATGCTACAGGAATCGAAGGAAGCCTAATAAAATATCTGGGGGTGAACGCATCAGCTCACATACATTTTCCTCTTAATATATCTCTTTATTGTTCTGCCATTCTGCAAAGTTTCCAGCTTATCTACCTTTACAGTCAGCAATTCTTTGGCTCTAGCAGGGAACAAGGCTAGAATTTTTCAGAGACATAAAAACAGGTAAGAGCTGCACAAGACAGTTAACTGTCAGGCTTATGACTCAAGTGGGGAGTGGCTAGTAGAAGCCTTGGTGAACTGTTAGTGGGGTCAAATAAGAGGGAGATAGACCTTAAATCAAATAGGGAAATCTAAGAAGGGAAGAGAGGGATTTGTGTGCTATACTATATTCCTAAGTACGGCTCGATAGTAAGCTAAAAGTTCTATAATCTGTAAGACACAGGCAAGACATGGCAGGAGCTGTCCCTCTTCTAGCACCACTTCCTCCTCAGCTTTGGAGGAAGTGGGTAACCCATAGCAACCTGTGTAAACAGCAGGGGAAGCCTGAGACATCTGGTCCTTTTTAGAATATTTGCCAATTTTTAGCTGGCTTTAAAGAACCTTTCAGTTCTAAAGATTACACCTTTTAACCTAAGTGGTTAGAGCAAGGGGAGGAGCTATGCTTATTTTGTACAAAATCCAGACCCTGACACCTCCTAGCCCCACTGGTCATTTGCTGCATACATCCCAGTGGTGCCTGTGGGAAAATTATATTTCTCTGGGAATGAGCAAATGGTTAATTACTTTTTCCTATTATCTCTCTGGAAAAAACACAAGCAGTAAATCTCCTAAGCTAAAATCTTACATCAATAAACCAAGGTGAAAGTAAATACGAAGAGTTAAAGACATGTTTATCGTTAGTGCAAGGTTAGCCGAGCCCTTCCCGTTATTGGTGGGGCAAGTTGAGATGAGGGCACTCTGCCCATCTTATCTTTAAGGCTATGGATTAACAAGCTCAGACATGCTGTCCTTGAGTCTGTCTTGTGAAGGCTCCAATTGTGATCTATTTGCATAGACACTTTTTCAGTCCAACTGTCCTGCCAATAAAGATATTTGCAGGAGGACAGACTTCTAAGTTTATATTGGGGAAGGGAACAAAGATCTGGTTGTAAGAACAAAGGTTTTGACTGTGTGACCTCCCACACAATGTGGGGGGGGGGGGGCATCCAGTATACCAGCAAGAAATAAGGCTTCACACAAGAAATCTACAGCAAGAGACAACCAATTTATTCAAAAGGCAGTATTTCCAAATGCCTTCCATGTTTGTTTATTCTGTCAGAATATTTATATTTCTGGTGGGATGACCTTTTAAATAACAGCTGAAATCTCTTTGCATAATCTTGTGGCCTGCAGCAACTAAGCTTTCAAAATTTTGTGAATTCCAAACGTGTTTACTTTCTTTGCCATTTGATATTCTTTGGTATTATTTTGGAGGTGAATATAAACTCTAACGATTTATTATATATTCCTATATATTTCAGTTGATGGATACAACACATTGATAAAGTACATAAGGACAGTGTAAGATTACAAAATAGGAACTCTGCTCTTTGAATTTCTACTTCATGAGTAAACACGTCTCCTGTTTTCATTTGTTGTTCATTGTCTCTCTATTTAATGCTCAATAACTGCTTAGTCTTGTTACTAAATAAATCTTAGAAATAACAATTGCCCAGGCATAGTGGCCTACTCCCAGCAATTGGGAGGCAGAGGTAGATGGATCTCTGACTTTGAAGCCAGCCTGATGCAGATAATGTGTTCCAGGACATCAAGAGATTCATAGAGAATGCCTGTCTTTAAAAAGCAAAAGCAAACAAAAAGAGAAATCAGTCCATTTGTTATCTATTCACTGGTAAATATGTTGTCTTAGCAAAATGTCTTTAATGAACAGGTGAACCTAAAGTTGTTGGCTTTTTTTTTTTATTGAGACTTGGTATGTTTCAGGTATAAATATTTTGCCATCCAAATAAAACCTAAAATACTGTCCTGAATTTTTTAGCTATATTATTTACTCTTGTTATAGGCCATCTTCTTCTTGGGCAGCATATCTTTTGTGCCTTCCAACACAAAACTCTATGTGAAGGATAAAAATTTTGTATTTTAATGATGGCTCAAATTTACACAATCACAATTAACTTTCTCTTTTCCAGGCTTGCCTACTTTATAATTTCATGAGTGTTGTACTTATAATATCTCTATTGTTTAATATGCTTATTTCTGTTAGTAAAATGCTCTTACTACTTACTTAGCTATTAAATTTTGAATAATATGCCATTATGTCTATGTTGTATTTGGTTGTGCCCTATTCTAGTATAAGTATAGATTATTTCTGCCTCCAATTTTTTGTCATTTAAAATATACTGTAGTTTCTCATGCTTCAATATGTATAAGTAAATGTTTCCTTTTAATAAGATGAGCATTCTAATTATGAAGAATATTTCCTATCTCTTGTTCATATCTCAATGTTTGCTCAACAGGAACAACACCCAATGATGATAACGTTTACAGCAAGGCCATTGATTGTAACTCCCTATATAATCAACACCAGAGAATTCATACAAGGGAAAAATCCTACAAGTGTGAAGAATGTGGTAAATCATTTCACTATCCTTCAAAGCTGAAGCAACATCAAAGAATTCATTCTGGAGAGAAACCCTACAAGTGTGAAGAGTGTGGCAAATCATTTCACTATCCTTCAAAGCTGAAGCAACATCAAAGAATTCATTCTGGAGAGAAACCCTACAAATGTGAAGAATGTGGCAAATCATTTCACTATCCTTCAATTCTGAAGCAACATCAAAGAATTCATTCTGGAGAGAAACCCTACAAGTGTGAAGAATGTGGCAAAGCTTTTCATGTTCCTTCAGTCCTTCGGGAACATCAACGAATTCATACTGGAGAGAAACCCTACAAGTGTGAAGAGTGTGGCAAATGTTTTTCCTCATCTTCATGCCTTAGACGACATCAAACAATCCACTCTGAAGACTCTCTCTACAAGTGTGAAGTATGTGGCAGATGTTTTTGCTCATCTTCATCCCTTAGACAACATCAAACATTCCATTCTGAAGACTATCCCTATAAGTGTGTAGAATGTGGCAAAAGGTTTTCCTGTTCTGCAAGCCTTCAGGAACATCAAACAGTTCACACTGGAGAGAAACCATACAAGTGTGAAGAATGTCACAAAGCCTTTCATTATCATTCATCCCTTAGGAGACACAAGAGAGTTCATACTGGAGAGAACTCCTACCAGTGTGAAGAGTGTGGCAAATCTTTTTCCTCGTTTTCATACCTTAGACAACATAAAGCAATTCACTCCAAAGATAATCCCTGCAAGTGTGAAGAGTGTGGCAAAACTTTTTCCCATTCTGCAAAGCTTCAGAAACATCGTAAAATTCATAGTGGAGAGAGACCATACAAGTGTGAAGAATGTCACAAAGCCTTTCGTTATCATTCAGGCCTTAAGAACCACAAGGCAGTTCATATTCAAGAGAAACTCCACAAGCGTGAACTGAGTGGAAAAGAATTTACTAAGATTGCTTTCCTCATTGAGGACAAGGCAGCTCATATTGCAGAGAAAGCCTACAAGTGTGAAGAGTGTGGCAAGTGTTTTTCCTCACCTTCCGCCCTTAAACAACATCAAATAATCCATTCTGAAGACAATCCCTACACGTGTGGAGAGTGTGGCAAAAGGTTTTCCTCCTTTGCACGCCTTCAAGAACATCAGACAGTCCATACTGGAGAGAAACCACACAAGTGTGAGGAGTGTGGCAAATGTTTTTCCTCATCTTCATCCCTTAGACGACATCAAGAAATTCATTCTGACGACAATCCCAACAAGTGTGCAGTGTGTGGCAAAAGGTTTTTCTCTTTTACAAACCTTCAAGAACATCAGACAATTCATACTGGGGAGAAATCATGCAAGTGTCAAGAGTGTGGCAAATGTTTTTACTTATCTTCATCCCTTCGACGACATCAAGCAATTCATTCCAAAGAGAATCCCTACATGTGTACAGAATGTGACAAAGGGTTTTCCTGTTTATCATACCTTCAAGAACATCAGAAAACTCATACTGGGGAGAAAGCATTCAAGTGTGAAGAGTGTGGCAAATGTTTTTACTTTTCTTCATCTCTTCGGCGACATCAAATAATTCACTGTGAAGACAATCCTTACAAGTGTGAAGAGTGCGGCAGATGTTTTTCTTCATCTTTATCCCTTAGAGGACATCAAACAATCCATTCTGAACATAATCCTTATACATGTGTACAATGTGGCAAACGATATTCCTGTTCTAGGAGTCTACAGGAACATCAAACAATTCATACTGGAGAGAAACCATACAAGTGTGAAGAATGTGGCAAAGCCTTTCATTATCACTCATCCCTTAGGAAACACAAGAGAGTTCATACTGAAGTGAAACCCTACCAGTGTGAAGAATGTCACAAAACCTTTTGTTATGACTCATCCCTTTGGAAACACAAGGGAATTCATACTGGAGAGAAACCCTACCAGTGTGAAGAATGTCACAAAACCTTTTGTTATGACTCATCCCTTTGGAAACACAAGGGAATTCATACTGGAGAGAAACCCTACAAGTGTGAAGAATGTCACAAAGCTTTTCATTATCACTCATCCCTTGGGGAACACAAGAAAGTCCATACTGGAGAGAAACCCTACCAGTGTGAAGAGTGTGACAGATGTTTTTCCTCATCTTCAGCACTTAATCGACATAAAAAAAAGAAAATTCCTTCTGAAGACAATCCCTAAAAGTGTAGAGATTGTGGCAAAGACTTTGCTAATCTTTATATCCTTATTCAACACATGATATCGTTCATATGGGAGAGAAATCCTACAAATGTCTTAAATAGTTTACTTGTTCAATCCTTAAAACACATCATATGATTCATTCTAACTACAAACCCAATGAGTGTGAAATGTAAAATCTTTGGTACCAATACAGATCTTTTTTATTAATTTTTTTTTTTTTTTTTTTTTTTTTTTGCATTCAAACCAGTTACGCTTCCTCTTCTCCCATTCCCTCCCCACCTCCTTTCTACCCTACATCCACTCCTCAGAAAGGGAAAGGCCTCCCTTAGGAGTCAACAAAGCATGGCATATCAAGTTGAGGCAGAACTAAGCTCCTCCCTTCTGCATCAAGACTGAGAGGTAGCTCATCATAGGGAGGAGGTTCCAAAAAGTCAGCTCATGTGCCAGGGACAGATCCTGGTCCCACAGCTAGGGGACCCACAAACAGACCAAGCTACACAATTGTCAGCCACATGCAGGGGGCCTAGGTCAGTCCCATCCAGGCTCCCTAGCTCTGCATCCAGAGTTCATGAACTACTAGCTCTAATCATCTGTTTCTGTGGGTTTCTTTTTCCTGATCTTGACCTTCGCCCCCTTGGTTGTTATAATCGCTCTTCCTTCTCTTCAACTGGACTCCAGGAGCTCAGCCCAGTGCTTAGCTGTGGATCTCTGCATTTGTTTCCATCAGTTACTGGCTGAAGGTTCTCTGATGACAATTAGGGTAGTCACCCATCTGATTACAGGAGAAGACCAGATTGGGCACCCTCTCCACTATTGCTAGGAGTCTTAGCTGGGGTCATCCTTAAGGATTTTCCCCATCACCAGGTTTCTCCCCAAGGCCCCATAATGGCCCCCTTTATCAAGATCTTGTTTCTCTCCCTCTCTGCCCCTCCTCCAACTCAACCATCCTGAATACCCATGTTCTCCACCATCCCACCCCCAGTATACTCAGGAGATCACATCTGTTTACTCTCCCAGAGTGGCCCTTGCATTCCTCTTACAGTTCTTCTTACCTAGTTTCTTTAGAGCTGTGGATTGTAGCTGGAAATCCTTTGCTTTACATCTACTATTCAGTTATTAGTGAGTGCATACAGTGTTTGTGTTTGTACTCAAAACCTGGCTTACCGCACTCAGGATGATTTTTTTTCTAGTTCCATCCATATGCCTGCAAATTTCATGAGGTCATTGTTTTTTTACCGCTGAGCAATACTCTATTGTATAAATGTACATTTTCTTTATCCTTTCTTTGGTTAAGGTGCGTCTGAGTTGTGTCCTTATTGGTAAAATAAAGACTTACTTAAAACAACATAAAGGCTCTTGCATTCTAAGGCCTCAGCAGCAAGGTGACAGCAGTGGCTGGAGGGATGCCGTCATCAGCTGAGGCAGCAGCAGTGTCAAGTGCAGCCGCTGTGCCTCAGATAAACGACAGTGCCCGTGGAGCAATGGTGGCAGGGAAGTTAGGAGAGCAACCAATCACTTTCTGATTGGATTTGAAGCTCATTCCATAAATGGTAACTGTAGATGTATCCAACCTTCTTATTAAATAATAAACACAGAACCAATGCAAAGAAGAAAGCCAAGAGGTCAGAGCTAAGAGCTAAAACCTTACCCTTCCTCCTGCGGTGGTCCTACCTCTCCGAACCAGAGCTATCCCTGTGTTAAAGTCTTTATATAGAGGTCCTGTCCTGCCTTCTCATTGGTTGTAAACCCAACCACATGACCGCCTCCTCACAGCCTGTCTGTATAGGCCTCCAGGTTTTCCATGATTGGTATTAAGATTAAAGGCATGTGTATCCAATAATGGCTGTATCCCTGAACACACAGAGACTTACCCAGCTCTGCCTACCAAGTGCTGGAATTACAAGCGTAAGCTACCACTGCCCTGCTTTCCTATGGCTTGCTAATAGCTCTGACCCCCGGGCAACTTTATTTATTAACATACAAATAACATTTTAATACAAATAAAATATCACCATATTTCCCCTTTTCTATTTTAATAAAAAGGAAAAAAAAGAAAAAGCTTATAACTAACATAAGAAAAACTATATACAAAAGTACAATAACTATATACAATATATACAAGTAATAAATACCTAAACAATGTCTAGTCCATTTGTATTTGACAAATTCAGAGAAAATAATTTCATTATCCTATTTTGGTAAGTCCAAAATGTATCCTAATTAATCTTCAACTATAACTAACTAAACTTCAACTATAACTAACTAATCTTCAACTCCCTCAGAGACCCAAGCTAACAAAAATAAAAACAGGAAGTGCATGCAAGCAACTTCCAAAAAATTTGTGAGTTGACAGAAACAGCCAGCTGTCTGGACAGTCACCTGAGGTTTCTCCGCAGTGCTGGGGCATCATCTTCAGCCTATAGGCTTAGCATATCTGACAAACTCATTTGTGAAGTAGGATGTACACAAGGTCAACAGTTCAACCTCACATTGAGTGAGAGTAGTCCATGTACCAGAAAAACCTGAATTCCACTAGTGTCATGTCATGATTCAGGATTTTAAATTCTGGAAATTGTTGATGGTTTTTTAATTCAGCTGTCCATTCTTCTTGGCTGTGTATATATGGCTTCATCTCAGCATCCCATTCTTCTCCATATCCCTCTATCAAATGCCAGTCTACTATTGAGAGGCGTGAGCTTAGTTACTCTTCAAGAATAACTGTTTCAGCTGCTGTTCCATTGCACATCAGAGGCCATCGGCCCATTGCCTGTTCAGCTGCCTTCGAAGAAAAGGGCACTGTACCTTTTCCGAATTGCGAAGGCCACTTCAGGGATGGTGCCATATTGTCCTGGCCTCTGAAGATGCCTTTTGATAAAGCCATAACCACACTTGTTTTGGCAAGAATCAGTAGTCCTTTGTTTCATGTCCTGTCTGTTCATTTTGTCCTGTTGATTCGAGGATACTTTGTTGTCCAGTGGCTAACTTTTGCCACAATGAAAGTTAACTCCATATGCAGTTTCTTCAATGCCCATATTTTCTCTGAAGTAGATTGGTACTGCCAGGAGCCGACATGTCTCATAGTCATAACAAAAAAGAAAAATTTTTTAAGTTATTAAAACATTTTAAATGCCATATTCTGTAGATCTCTGAAGGGTTTGAAGATAACCTGTCTATCTAAAATATATCTACTCAATCTTGAAAATATACCTAATATAACTACAAGTTCTATTATAATATCTAACTACTAACTTTCATTTCTTTATATCCTAATAGTTGGTAATAACATTCAAGGATCAGAAAATTGCATTACATTGTTAGATGAATGGTACAATTAGAAAAATATATATAACATTTTCTAACAATATCAATTTCAATATATATATAATTTGTATACAATATAAAACAATCCAATCCAATGTAAAGTATTTACATTTTTCTTTTCTTTCTTTCTTTTTTTTTAATAAGAACCTTAAATCTAATCTCCTTTGCTTAGCCTTTTTCCTAACCCTTGACAATAACTTGTAACCAACCCCCCTAATCAATGAAAATTATCCCAGACCCAAAACCCATTAAAAGACCAAAAAAACCAACTGCCCCACACCACCTCTTTGGGAATGTGGGCGTCGTATTCTTGAAATTGCTTCCTGCTGGGTATGGGCGAAGGTATCTTTATCCTGAAAGAAAAATTTTAGGTTAATTGTCAAATTCTAGGAAAGGTAAATATATCCTTCGTTATCCAGTCTGTGTATAATGCCAAATTTCAGGGTTTATCTCAAATCCTTATTCAAGTAGTCTTTGAGACTGGATCATCTCAGCTAGCTCTTCTCAAAATTGCTCTGAGCACTTTGTAGTTCAAAGCTGATCTGTAGATGATGTTTGTCAGCTTAGTGATGTTATTATTGTCCACGTGGAATTGTTGTTGTGGGGCCCCATCTTCTTCCTGGAGACTTCAGTTGATGTTAGGCCTAACCGTGATTTCCTGCAAAAAACTGATAAGAGACTCGAACACAAAGACCATATATGCGACTTTTTAGAATTAGTTAGTACTCTATATGACCATTTATATCTTAACAAAGTTTAAAATGTATATATATCTATATATATTGATCTTGTAAATTTTGATATAAAATTCATACTTTAAGAAAAGTTTAAAGAATCAGAATAGAATCAATGAGTTGAGATTCGTAATAGAATAGTCCCTTAATTAATTTGGCTTTTCTCCTGTCCCATAGCAGAAGATGGCTCTTTTCTTCTGGCATGATACAGGGAGTTTGCATTTTCCTTTTAACAACATGCTTGAGTTTAAAGAAGGAGAGAGCCATTCTCCAACTCCAAAGTCAGCTTTAAATTTTAATTGAACTGGGACTATTAGAAGTTAAATAGTGTTAAATCTTTAAAGAAAAGCAGAAACAAACATTTAGGAAGACATAAAATTTTTTTAGATAACATACCCATATGCCATTTCACTCTGTTTCTTAGGATAGATGATTTGTTCCTTTTCTTCAGTTGTCTCATTTGTCCAGTGTTCTTCAAATTCCTTAACCTTCATTCTCCTAAAAGACAAAAACAAAAACCTTTCCCCAAGGTTTTTTGGGGATGTTCCTTTTTGACAAGTTATCTGATTAAATGAAAAGGCATGTGTTACTGGTGTAAGTTAGTTTAAATTGGATGTTTACGATAGTTGATGAACTATCACCTCCTCTAATTAAGAGGTCTCTCTTGTTCAAATCGAACCTTTATCAATTTTGATGGTACCCACAGCTTATCTTCTCCTGTAGAAACAAAAGCAAAACTTCGTCCCCAACGTAACACATACCCTGGTTTCCATTCTGAGGTCAGCACATCCTTAAAGTATATAGGTTGATTTAATTCTGTAGTTTTTTCTATTATCCAATGTCTCTCTGCAGCTGTTGTTCCTTTCTCATTGGCATTGAGAAAATTCAAAGTTAATAGAGCATTATGTAGTCTATTTCTGGGGGTTTTTGTTACTCCTTTTTGTTTATTTAGCATATCCTTTAGAGTTCTGTTTGATCTTTCTATAACTGCTTGACCTGTAGGATTATGTGGTATACCTGTAACATGGTTTATATTATAATAAGCAAAAAACTGTTTCATTTTAACAGAGACATATGATGGAGCATTATCAGTTTTG